AACCTATTACTGACAGTGCAAAGATAGATAAAAGAGCTCATTAACTATTAACATCAGATCAAAAGACAAATGATGAAGGCTTAATTAGATAACTCAAACCTGCCACTTGGGATTACTAAAGCATACGGAACGGTCTTTTCAAACTTTGAGCAGCTATTTTCTTCCATTATGTGTTACAAGCATTTTCAATGTTTAAACCGGCGAGTTGCATTGCTGTCTAAAATTCCCACAAAATCATAAACCATCTCTAAATACAATTAAGAGTCAAGGGTACTTGAAAAACGGCATCTCCTCGAAACTTAAATTATAAACAAAAATTAACAGAATGAGAAAGTAAAAGTACCTTTTACTTTCAGTTGTTGGCTGAGGAAGCATGGACATAACAACCCTATCAGCTAAAACTTCAGTTGGATATCCTAAACAAGATGGTCAATCCAGTTTGATATATCAATAAAGTAAGACATGGTACCACAAAGTAAACTTCAAGAATTCTCAGAATGACAGCAACAGAACTAACACATGAACAATATACCCTGTAATCAGGGATAGTATTAAGGTCATAGAGCTTTCTGTTTTTCAAATAAACAGTCAACTCTGAAGTTTGGCATTGTAGGTTTCAAAGGAGCCATTAGGAAACTCCAAATGAATCATGTAGCATCCTTTATTCATTTAAGAGGATTTTGTAGGCAAGGAGAGCATAATGATGTCACTGTCATCAAGCCTAGACTAGAGAGTAAAGAAGAACGTCCCAAAGGTGTAAGGCTTGAGCCTTGTCAAGTTTATTTGTTAAAAGATTACGATGCACGATAATGCTTAACACACTTCAAATCTTAAGCTGATATGTACGTCTACTTACCATGGGAAGCTAAGAAAGGTATAGTGTATTTCATTTCTATAACATGACGTATTTCTGGTTAAATCTTAAAACTCTTGATGTTGCCATCAGAATCATCAACATACCTGCAAATTTAGAAATTAATTCGATATTAAAAATTCAATTGTCGCATGTGCTCTCTTGAAAGGTGAAATATCCTACAGTAGAGCAAAGAACCGAAGCTAGACTTGCATGTCGGGACTAGTTTGCATAACTACAAAAGAAGTAATTTCTTCTTTAAAGACATATACATGAGACAAGAGCCTCTTTTCCGAGTCCCAAACCTACTTTACAATTTCCTTAAAAAATTAATTCCCATATGAAAGAGAGAAAATAATAAGACATATTTATAGGTAAAGTATAGAGCAAGAAGACATATTTGTTTGTAAAAGTAGACATATATATAGAAACTACTTTTACAAACAAATAATATAAAAATACAATGTCCTAAATTTTATTTCTAATAATTTTTCTTAGAAAGCAAAAACATAGAAAAACATAAAAAGAGAAACCAAACCAGGCATACATGAAAATGAATTGGTCACATGTAGAACCGACAAACCTTTACAAATAAAACAACACTAGCATGTAATCAGAAAAGAAAACCCAAAATGTAAACAGTTTATTAGATTTAGGTAAAAAAACAAAATCCCAAATATATAATCAGAAAATAAATCAAATTTTTATAAAAAAACCTAAAAAAATCAAGAAACATGGCCGCATCTACATTCATCACAATGTATTTGGGATTTTGCTAAAACCAAACTTACCCCCCGTACAATAGATAATACCAAAAAAAATAAAAAAAAGCAAAACCTGACCAAAACTCCCTATCTTAGCCAATTTTAGACTTTGCCAAAATGTCTGCCTCTAAGTTTGCTAGCCTAGCTATCCAACGAATAACGCCCTCCAAGTTCCTTATCTTATCTGCAATTTCTTAATCCACTCCACAGACAACTTACTATCACTCTCAATAATCAACCGTCTCTTAGAGCACCAGCTAGAAGATTCAAAGAAAATTAAACCATGTTTAATGGCCTTAAATTCCATTAAAGAATGACCCAGACCAGCAGCTTCTTGAAAAGATCCTAACACTGTGAAACACTCGTCTCTTAAAATCCCGCCTAAATCGCAAGCCTTCCAATCACCATTAATAGCAGCATCCACGTTTAGCTTTAGAAATCCCGTAGGGGGATGGGACCAAAAAATTTGATTTACTATCAGACATTTTGGAAATCCCATGGGGTCCATCACAAAAACATATACCATTAATTTCGAAATTCTAAGTGACATTTACCCCGTCATATGAATTCACTGAACTTCTCTTATCAATCCAAACCTTATATAACATGATAATACATTTCATTCAAATTCTTATCAGATACAAATGTAAGAATATTATATATACAAATAATTCGAATGCATCGCATAAATTCTGAGTGCAATATATCTACATATTTAAATAACGTTTTTCAAGCAGAATACCAGACAACGAATATTCGCAAAACAATAAATCTCGAAATAAACAAAGAAAATGACACCCAATCAAAAAAAAACTCACAAACCAAATATAACACCCTATAGGAACACACCTTGACAAAATCAAACAACGATAATCATATTCAAAATATTATGCAAATACTCATAGACCCATCACCTTACAGACCATTCAAAGTGGGGCTTGACACAAAGGAAAAGGCCATTGAATTTTAAGTGATATTCATTATGTCGAGTGAATACATTGAACTATCAATCAAGACTCAATATAACATGATAAGATATTTCACTCGAACACTAATCTGATCCAAATGTAAAAAAATTAAATATAAAAGTAATTCAAATGCATCGCATAAATTCCAAGTCCGATATATCAACATATTTCACACAGCATTTTCTGAACAAAATATCAAATAATCATTAATCGTAAAATATTCATGCACGCAATAAATAAAAAAAATTAATTAATCAGATAACTCACAAACAAAATATAACACCCTATAAATACACACCTTGACAAAATATTCTAGCAGCGACCAACAATTCCCAATCTTTGAAGTGTAAAATCACAATTCACATCATAGGCCGAAACAACAATAAAAAACATATTCCAAATTAAACATTAATAATCAGAGTCTGAATACTATGCAAACGATCATACACACATACAACTTATTGTTCAAAGAGTAAAGTCTGAGAACCACTCTAATTATAACACACCATCCGAAGTGTGGTCCACCAAAAAGGCATATGCCCCTGAATCTAAAGTTACATTCACCCTATGGAGTGAATACACTAAAACTTCCGTATCAATCCCAACCCAATATAAATTGATAACATATTTCATCTAAATGGAAGAATATTACATATACAAATAATACAAATGCACCGCATAAATTCTATGTCTGAAATATAAAAATATTTCACCCAACATTTTCCAAACAAAAAAAAACAATCATGCTCATAAAAAACAAAAAAAAATGTCAGTCAATTACATAACTCAGAAACAAAATACAACACCCTAGAGAGATACACCGTGAAAAAATATTATAACAACGACCAACGATTTGCACAATATCTTTAAAAAGCATAAAATCACAATTCATATCATAGTCCATATCAACCAATAATAATTATAATCCAAGTCAAACATTAATCAGTCCTAATATTATGCAAATGATCATGCACCCATACGACTTACGCATCGTTCGAAAAGTAAGTTTTCAGAACCACTCTAACTCCAATAGACCATCTGAAGTACGATTTGCTACAAAAGCATAAACCCCTGAATTCGAAGTGAATTTCACCCCATCGAATAAATACATGAAACTTCCCTTATCAATCTCAACCCAATAAAAAATTATAACAAATTTCATCAGAGTGTAAGCATATTACCTATACAAATAATCTGAATACATCACATAAATTCTAAGTCTGATATATCATTTATTTCACGTAGCATTTTTCAAACAAAATACCAGACAACAAATAATCGTAAAACAATCATTATCGTAATAAACAGTGAAAATGTAAGTCGATCAGAACCCTCACAAACAAAGTATAACATCCTATAGTGACACACCTTGACAAAAAGATTCACACGGTGGCTTTAAAGTGCATAAAGTCACAATTCACATCATAGATCGAATCAAACAATGATAATCACAGTCTGAATATTATGTAAATAATAATGCACCCATACGCCTTACACACCGTTGTAAATATTACATATACAAATAATCTAAATGCATCGCATAAATTCTAAATCTGATATATCAACATATTTCACATAACATTTTTCAAACAACAAATAATAATAATAATAATAATCTAAAACAAGCAATAATAACCATTGTTCGAATATTATGCAAATAATCATGCACCGGTACACCTTACAAATCATCCGAAGTTGGGTCTGCCACAAAGGCTGAAGCCACTGAATCCAAAGTGACATCCTTATATAACTTGACAACATATATCATCAGAATTCTAAATTTATCCGAATGTAAGAATATAACATATATAAATAATCCAAATACATTGCCTAATTTCTAAGTTCGATATATCAACATTTCACAAGACATTTTCCAAACAAAATACCATACAATCAATAATCTCAAAACAATTATGCTCACAATAAACAAAGAAAATGTCAATCAATCAGATAACTAACAAAAAAAATATTGCACCCTATAGAGAGACACATTGAATCAAACATTATACAAATCACATCATAATTCACATCATCTAACACATCATGTCTTTAAAATATATAAATTCACAATTCACATCATAATTCAAATCAAACAATGATAATCATTATCCAAATCAAACATTAATAATCCGAGTTTGAATTATATAATTTAATTTAAGAATAAATTATCCAAATCAAACAATGATAATCATTATCCAAATGAAACAATGATAATTTAAATTAATTTCATTTAAGAATATATTAATATAATTTAAATTAATGTATTCTTATGATATTTTATAATTTATAATTTAAATATTATTATTATTATATTAATAAATTATATAAATAATTTTATTTAAGAATAAATTAATAAATCAGAGTTTGAAAAACCAATCAGTAAGGGAAACAAATCAAAACATTATAAGCAACGTACCATTGTTCTCTTGTTTCAAGTATATCTCTAATTTGAAACATCTTCACTGCTCAAGACAAGTTGATCGCATACGGATTGGAGCTCCTAAGATGCAAAAGGAATTTAGTAAGTAAATTTTCTAAGCTACTTTTCCAAACTTATACAATTAAAACAGTCGAAGAACTATGTGGCCCATCATAATACATCTAAAAAAGCTATACCTTGTGCATGTCTTCTTTAAGCCTATGCTACATATGCTAGTTTTTGCTTTAACTGGACATACAACAATTTCTCATTGTGGAAGGGTGATTCTAGTTCTTCTTTCTCTGCCTTGAGCATTGCTAGAAGAGTGTGCTCGCCAGTCTCCTCACCTTTGGATTTCTAGAGTGTGTTTTAATTAATATTATAATAATTTAAATTTAATTTAATTTAAGAATTTATTAATATAATTTTAAATTTATAATTTAAATAATATTATTATATGGGGCAAGATCTAATTACACTATGTAAAAATCTTTTAGTTTTACACCATTTTAGGACCATTGGATGAAAGAAATTAAAGAATGAGATTAACCGTGGAAAATGAACAGATATTCACTAAAAAAACGAGTTAGTCTCAACCTTTGATTTCTCTAAATCCAATGGCACTAAAAAAGTGTAAAACTAAAAGAGTTTTGCGCAGTGTAAATGAATCCTAATCCTTAATATATTCATAAATTATATAAATTAATTAATTTATATATAAATTATATAAAAATATTTTAAATAATATTAGAAAAATTTAATTTAAGAATATATTAACATAATTTCAATTAATATAATCTTATGATATTTTATAATTTATAATTTATAAATAATTTAATTTTAAAATAAATTAATAAAACTATACCTCGTACAGGTTTTTGTTTTAAGCCTTTGCATATGCTAGTTCTTGCTTTAACTGGGCAGACAACAATTTCTCATTGTGGAATGGTGATTCTAGTTCTTTCTTCTCTTCCTTGAGCATTGCTAGAGTGTGCTCGTAATGTCTCCTCACCTCAGGATTTCTGCATACACTCTAAACTTTAAGTGAAATAAATAAACCTAACGATACAGAAAATGAGAATGAACCCATTAAATCTTCAATGTCAGATATAAATAAATCATTCAATACATTCACAGAGTATGTGTTTTGTATCAGAAGATTTCAAGTTCAGCCACATGGATTTATCTTGAAAATTGCCAAACCAGGAGAATAAAAATGTGACAAACAACAAGCATATCACTAAGGCCTTGCTAAGCATCCAACCTAAAAATCACTTAGAAATAGGCAAAGAAATCCCAACCTAAAAGTGGAGATGCAATAAACATCAAAACTACATTTACGATGTACCATTTTTCATTGGAGTAGACACAATAGTTCTCAGTCTGAAACTACTTAGCATGCAACAAACTTCCCAAAGTTTAACAAATATGATGCCTTAAATTAACAATTCGTTAGCATCAAAAACTTATGTTCATAAACATACATTTTATTCCATGCATAAACATGATGTGCCTAATTTCACACATACGATTATCACAACCCAAATCATCCACTCTCAACTTACATAATAACTTTTTCCAATTATTCACCCAAAACCCAATAGGTTAACATTAAATACGCATCCACGGAATTAATTTCATAGAAAGTTTAAATTACAGAGAAAACTATGCAAAACCTAAGATCCTGACAACAAAAAGGTTGTCATATGGAATTTGTTTGTTCCGGGGAAAATCACCCCTTAAACCACGTATATGATTTATAGATTTAACTCTTTTGGCAAGAAAGTCAATGGTAGTCTATTTAATTAAAAATATATATGTAAAACACATAATAAACTCGAGCATCCAATCTTTATTTATATAAGGATAAATTTTTTGGAATTAAAGAGATTAAAAGACAATGAGTGAATATTACCTTTGCTACATCTTTCAACACCGAAAAGGTTGCATCTCTGACATGGGATCCAACCATTAAGACACTACAATTCAAATTCACAACATTCCAATAGTAATAGCATTTAAATAATAATAGGATAAAAAACAGAGCATCTCCTCCTATATGATTTTATAAAGACAAAGTAAAATGTTTCAGACCATTACTAGATGATGACCATCACAGAGTTCAGTTGCCATTAAAAGGAAGGAAGATTCATATATTATTTATACAAATTGTTTTGGATACTTGAGCAGAAAATTTTACTAAATGCACTTAGCTAGCATTGCCGAAAGCAAGAGAAAACTTACATTAGAAAACCCTTCATCATCAGAATCCTTCATATCACTGAAAGAGGGAAGTTCAAGCGGTGCTGTGTACACACATTGATCGCTGTCCGTGAGCTGACTTACCATAAGAAGTTGAGAAAGGTATAGTGTATTTCATTTGTATAACATGACGTACTTCTTGTTCAATCTTAAAAACCTTGATGTTGCCATCAGAATCTCCAACATACCTGCAAATTCAGAGAGAAAAGAAGACATATTTATAGGTAAAGTATAGAGAAAGAAAACATAGGCAATACTGATTCTGATGACAGACAGTAAAAGTAGATTACTCTCATATCTAATATGATAGAATCAGCAATTAACCAAGCAAGCAACTTGCCTCAATATGGTTCTTGAAATTTACATTGATATATTAAGGATGCCTTGATTCTGGACAAACTGAAGAAAAATTAAGGTTCATATAAGTACCTTGAAATAACTTTCAAAAAAAAATTACAAGGAAAAAGAAATACTGATATAGCATTATTAATGATAGTATCAAGAAATCCAGATTGAGAAATATAGCATCATAAACGATGATACCTTGAACAGTAAGTGCATAGACAGCAAGGTAAACGATGATACCTTTTCTGATTGAAGTTGATTATTTACTGTCAAAGTGAACTGTGCATATCCACTCCAGCAGGGTAAACTTTCTGGGTCGGCAACATCCAAATACATAGACAAATGATCCACGTTGTTACCTGTATGAAATTCAAAACCAAGAGTATGACAACTGATCCACGTTGTTACCTGTATGAAATTCAAAACCAATAGTATAAAGACTAAACTATCATCGCCAAAACAGAAAATCAAGGGGGAAAGTGTAAGTACTATAAAAAAGGAATGAGCAGTGTACCATTTAAAACCATCAACGATAAAATCATCTGAGAAAATCAAGGGATTGGGACTCTATTAACAAATCGAGAAGTAAAATCACAACAAAATCAAACACTTTTCTTCATCTTCTTGTCGCTGAAAATAAAAAGTAATCAAGAACAAATCAAAATAACTAAACCATAAGCAGTAGAAACCGTAAAAAATACGAAAGGCCAACTGAAGATATAGCAACGAGATGCTTGTCGTTCGAGAGTGTAATTGGAAGTTTGAGAAGGAACAAAGAGAGGATATGATAGCGGGTGAGAGAAATGTTAGGGTTTGAAAACGGAAGTAATTTTACCTGGGATGGGCGGGATTGCGGGAATAAATAGTCAAATTTTTATTTATTTACCTAAGATAGAGCCAAAAAAAAAAATAGTCGTTGCAAAGGGAGCGTAAAATTTGAAATTCAAAATATTTTTTATTTGATTTATTTTTTTTTCAAAATTATCTCTTTTATTTATGAATAAAATTTAATATTTTAATCGATTATCTATGAATTCAGTTTGATTAATTTCATTTCTTCTTTTTCATTTTGATTTTAAAGTTATTTTGAAAAAAAAATTAATACAAAAACTTTAATATATGATTTTAAATATTATTTAATAAAAAAAAATTTGTCAAAAATATTTTAATATTTTTTTGTCGACGACGAATCGACGTTTTATACCTCACAAACCCTTGGATGAAAATTGTGATCCCACACGATTCCGACGGTCAATCGGTGGTAACTACGACAACACATGATTGAGAATGTGACAGGGACTATATCGGTGGCGATAGACTAAGATTAGGATTTGGGGTTTTTAGAGATCTGGGGCTTCTTTATAATTTAAGAGAAATTATGATTTTTTTTATAAATATGTTAATATTTTTTAAAAATAAATTTCAAAATTATTAGATTGTGACATGTGTCACTTGACAGAAGAAATAAACGTCGTTCACTGCCCGAGCACCTAAAGTGGTAGCGTTGGACACCGGGAGCATTCAAAAAAATAGTTTAGACACATTTTATAAAAATATTATAGTTTGGACGCTTATTTTGTAATAAACCTTATTCATTTCTCAACAAAATACAAAATCTGAAAAAAAAAAACAGTACAAAACAACAAAACTAAGCACATTAAGCCACAGGCACCATGCAACTCGAGAAACAAGAAGCACAGCAGGGATAAAGGAGTGTTTTATACATATACATATACGTGTATACATACATGTGTCATATTGTATACGGTTGTAGTTATATTACATAAAATAATTTTTAAAGGAGTGTTTTGCAATTTATAATACATGAAATAAACCCATAATTTATATTATCACTATATCATTCTATTGAATTTTAGAATTTAGAATAAATAAATAAGATTAATTTAATTATAATATGTGAATTAAACCCACGATTTATTCATGATAAAGAAACTAATAAAGATTTAGACCAATAATTTGTTTCGTTACAATTATTGATCCTAATGCATTGATAAACAAATGAATAGTTTAATAATTCTCATGAAACTCGTGCCTTGGTGGTGTTGAGGGTAGTTTCAATCAAACATCGTTGTGTACATGATATACATATATTAAGATATATATTTAAATTTATAAAATTTTAAGAGTCGAAAATAATTTTTTAATAAAAAAATAAATAAAATCTAAAATATACGATAATTTTAAAATTTAAAAGATGATCGCCTCATCTACATCGTCTAAGTCCGTCCCTAATTGCGTATTAATATTATCAAAATCTCTGTAATAAAATTCTTTAATTTATAAACAATTTGTCAATCGGTCAAAGGAGGGACAACAACGAAAGTTGAAAATATTTGTACTAATTCATGTTTATCTACAAACCAGCATCATTCCAAATTCGCCTCTTCACGAGCTGGAAAACAAATCACCATTAACAAATCACCGTTGAAATCCACCGGTTTGTGTCGCCACCTTCACACCGCCGTTCGATCGTCTGACATCTGTGGGATCAATCGTCAATCAAGCGGCTCCCGATACCGCTAGCAGAAAAAATAAAATTAAGATTGGGACCCGCAGTTGGAGGAATATGGGAGTAATAAAAAAAAGTGTTTAGTGGAACCTTATAAACAATATCCAATCACGTGCTTCCACTTGTAACTCCGTCGACGGCTGTTGTTATCTTTACCATCGCCGGTGTCAACTTGGGAGGAGAATAAAAAGGATCATTTTTAAGGAGGGAGGTTCCGAATCAGGATCATTATTAGCCAAACTACATAGAATTTATTGATAATAGTAGTATTTTATCTCTTTGGAATTTTAAATACAATGTCGTTTTTGCGGCGACGGAGGAAAGGAACGGATTCGTCAATGTCCTCGAACTTTGTAGGATCCAGAATCGAAGACGAGGACGAGAAGAAAGGATTGTTCTCGAGTCCCAGGAAAGAGAGGAATACTTCTCAGAAATGGTCATTCTGGGACAGTTGTTGTTGGTTCATTGGTTTTGTGTGTTCAATGTGGTGGCTCTTGTTATTGTTGTACAACACAATGCCCGCTTCGATCCCTCAATACGTGACGGAGGAGATAAATGGGCCGTTGACCGACCCACCGGGTGTTAAGTTGAGGAAAGAGGGCTTGACGGTGAATCATCCCGTGGTGTTTGTCCCTGGGATTGTGACCGGTGGGCTCGAGCTATGGGAAGGTCACCAGTGTGCTGAAGGCTTGTTTAGGAAACGTCTTTGGGGTGGAACCTTTGGGGAATTGTATAAAAGGTACCATTAACTTTTGTCCCTTTTTTTTCCTTTTGTTTTCCCTTTCTAAGTTCTACATAAAAGGTATCCTTGGCCTTGGGAAGGCCACCAGTGTTCTTTTATGATCTTGACTTAGGTTGGAAGTTATTAGAGAAAGTTCTTTAAAGCTTACTGATTTGCACAAGAAAATATTGCTTAATTGATTTCTATAGTTGAAGCCTTCTAATTATTGCAAATGCTTTTTCCTTTTGTTTTATGTTTGATTATGGGGCATTGGAAATACATATATGGATAAATAATTTATTTTAAGTTCAAAATATACAATCCACATACAAAAATAATTTATTTAAAGTTAGTTTGAAGGGATAAATATTTGGATATATATATATATATATAATTAAAGTTTATTTTTAAAAGTTCATTTGAATTGTACGTGTCTTGTAGGAACATGTTGGGCCCAATGCCACCATCATTCCGTTTTCTTGTTTCTTCCTCGACTTATGGGTTCACCATCTTCTCGTAACAATTTAGACTACATAATATTTTACAGTTAAATCTGTTAACAAAATGTATATAAAAAACATATACCTAGATCGACCCAGATGAAAACACGTAAGAAAATCTTTCATAAACCTATTATTTAGTGTACGTATGTTTCCAGCCCTTCCCGTAGTGAACATACATAATCGATCAATCATTCGCTAGGGTGATCACAAGTTGTGGGGCACCTTGGTGCTTCCTTAAAGTGGAACCTAGAGGAAGCTTATTCAACGGGTGAGATGAGACGAGAGGACATTACTGGCCGTGACGTTGCCTGTTATCGTTGATCACAAATCGAAGTGTCCTTTTGCACGTTGCCCATCTCTAACTCTCGGTTCATGTTTGTAACCAAAAAAGAAAAACAAAAGTGAAAAACAAAGCCCTGTTTTCACTTGTATGTAATTATTCTAACTTTAATCCGCCTATATTTTGTGTCTCTTATAAGCCACACCATCTTACCCATTATTGATTACTTCATTTTGTGTCTCTTATAAGCCACTCCTTCCTACCCACCTTCTTACTCATTATCGATTACCTTGAAGTTTCGGCATAGGATGGATTTAGGCATTTTATTTATACCTTTAAATTAACTCTCAATTATTTGACATTAAACGTTAATACTTCTTACATTCTTGGTGCCCGAATTTAACACTTCTTAAATTAACTATAATATTTTTACTATCAAATTCGCTTGGTTTGTGCTTATTATTTAAATTTATGTACATTATCTCTCATAATATTTGATTCTAATTCTGTCTCTTAGCCTATATTTTCCTATTCTATATGCACTCAACTAGAACTAAGTAAAAAGGAAATGAATAGTCGAAGAACTAGTAGGGTAATTTATCAGATAAATAAATAAAATTCATCCACTTGATCAGTCTGAATTCTCGACTCCTC